GTAAGAAGGGGGGTAGAGGAAGAGAAGAAAGAGGCAGATTTAGAAAAACAGAGGAGGACGAACGTTATGTTGAAGAGGGGGATGAGTCTGATGATGATGGTATCGAATCTGATGCATATGATGAGGCTTACCCTGCTTCATCTGATGATGACTAAAGAATGAAGACACTCGACTCTTGGTATTGACTGGTCAGTCATAGACTGTATATTTTTTTTTCCAATTTGTAGTTTCTACTATCCAATTCTTGTGTGTATACTTGTATGGAAATATGGATTATGGACTATCTAAATTCTCCTCATTCACTTATGACGTTTCCAATAATTTTTTTATTTTTTTGCCACCCAGGTTCTAAGCGGCCTACTACCCAGCCGCTTAAGCGCCACCTGGCGTTTTTTGAAACACTGGTGCGGGGTTTTTTTTTTTTTTAAACATGCACTGTTTGCACTAATAGGATTGAGCGTTTTTCATGAGGAATGTTGCATGCTGGAGCTTGGATTTAAATTTCCCTAAAACCAAAGTACATTTGGTCTTGAATATAATTACTTACTAATAGGAAGTTGAGTTCTATGGCAGCCATAAGAAATTTCCAATATTACAAAATTCTTGAAATTATTCGTCATTTTCCTCACATCTTTCAATATAGTTCCCATTTGTTTCCCATATTTGCCCAAACTCCAAACATGTCAAATACATATAATTTCCAAGTTCTAAACCATTTTTTCCCAAGACAATACTGCTGTTTTAATTCATCATCTACCCAAGATGCAAAAAGTAACAAAGACACAACAAGAGGCTTACAACAATGTTTATTGCATGTCAGGCCAACAAGCTACAAATAACTCAATTATACAGGTAACACTGGCGATATATAAAAAAAAATAACTTACCAACTACAATCGCCAACGAGACCTCTTTTTTGTAGGCAACCTAAATTCAATACTTAGCAATAAGAATATGGCATTTTATCTTAGGTATAGCTACTAGTTGATTCCATGAATCCCGAAGATGTAACATTCATTCAACAACTTAATGTATAAACTACAATCACTAACCCCATCCAATGCCCTGAACAACCTAGATTTGCGTTAGTTAGCATATGTACATCCATTAACAAATTTCAAAGGGCTATGAATCACATCAAGGAGTGAGAGAACAAGCTCATATAAAAGCCAACCAAAACTTATCTTCTTTTGCATCTCCCTTCCTTGCTAGGCAAATCCTTTTGATAATTAGTGTGCTCCCTTTCTCTCTAAAAAGTGTGTTTGCTCCCATAACCAAGGGTTTCATACTCCTTATTCCGAGTTGTTTAGCTTTAGTGGGTTTCCTCCATTGGGAGAACTGGCAAATCATATAATATTTTGGTAAATTAGACCCTCTCCAAGAGTGGAAGCTATAGAGAATAATAGTAGTTCACAGAGAGGTTGTATCTTGGGGGTGATTTCCCCATGCACCCCATTGCATCTTGGGCAACCAAGGGGCATGGACCACCTTGAAGACAATGGCCCTAGTGTTGTAGCTCTAACCCAGAGAAGAAACACTTCTTTAAGTTTGTTTTCAAGCCCTACCATCAAAAAAATCTAGCTTCGACGGACCCCAAAACCAACATACTAGGGGAAGCTCACCATCATGCATACCAGCGTCCGTTATAATCCTTCATTCAGCTTCCTTAAATCTCCTTTAGCAAGCCACATACTCCCGAAAGTGGGCTTGTTCTTGCACTATACCCAATAACAATTAAATGAACCTTCCCAATAACTTTTTGTTATTAACAATAGAAGAGTACCACAATCAAAGTCCCAACATATGGGGGATTAATGAAGCTGCAAGTATTGTAAATCGAGGGGAGAAGAGTTAGACCATAAGCTATTCATTCAATGACCTTCGATCAGTGATAGCCTCGAGCACCATAATGTTGGTTTTGGGGTTCTTCAATATAAGATTTTTGTACAAAATAGAGCTTGAAAACAAACTCTCAAAAGTGCTAGCTCTCTAGACCAGCGGCACAACACTGGAGTCATTATCCTTAAGGTGATTAATGTCCCTTGCTTCATTGCCCAAGACATAAAGTGTCTAGTGAAATCCCCGCCCCCCTACAGGAGACAACTGCCCAGTGAAGCACTCTCCAGCATGCACTTTTAGAGAATACCCCAGGTATCACACTAGCATATTTTGCCACTTCTACCAAATGAGGAAACCCAGTAAAAGGGCACTGCTCTGAGAGAGAAAGAGAGAGAGCTCCAAATATGGAGTGCGAAAAACACAGTTGGTTATGAGAGAAAACATACTATTTATCGAAGCAAGCAATTGGTAACAAAATAGAACTATTTAGCAGATAAAAGAAGCAGAAGATGAGTTTCAGGTGGGTTTACTATGAGAACTTCTCTCTCCAGTTTTAAGTTTTTTATGGGCTCCTTTAAGAATTTATGATTACGGTTTTAAACGACATGGTTGGTGGATTTCAAATAGCTATAAATCACATAGAGGGGAAAGGGGGAAGGGGGGGGGTAGAGAGAGAGAGAGAGAGAGAGAGAGAGAGAGAGG